CTAGCTATATTACTATTACAGGGTGCGACCGAGCTCTCGGCCATTGAAGAAAATGTTGAGTCACCTCCACCATTAAACTGCGCTCTTTAGCCGACTAGACCCTCCTGCACTCAACCATTCCCATTGCGAGAACACTTCCGTAGACGATATTGATAAACTCCTTCAGACAGCTGTTTCGCTAATACATAGCTCATCAGTGAAGGTAGATGTTGAATGATTAAAAATATAGACCAAACTGCTATTATATAGGGGGTTTCCACATACAAAACTGGCATGGCTGAGGTGATAACGCGGGAAAAAGAAAAGTGTGAAGTACTATTGACGGGCATTGGACATGCATGCAGCGTCGGAAATTCGGCGCGGAAAATCAATCACTATTCAATGCAGAAATAACGTCCAGAATCAGAGTAGCTAGTGAGAGTCTGTTTTTACTGTTTGTTTTAGTGATTCTTACCATGTGACGATGTTCCACTGATGATACTAACGAGAAAACGTTCAGAAATTTCTCATTTCAATATTCCGCGATATTCATGTTAAAACGAAATGGCGTCACGATTTATTGAAAGTGGTATAGTTGGTGGTACGAGTGTTCAAAACCATTTGAACTTCATACTGTTCGTCTTCTTTTTGACATTATCCCTTTCCATCGTCCTTAGCTTTTGTTTGTTGTGAGCTGTTTTGGCTTTCTCCTGTACCTCTGGGGGATGCCAAGTGATGGTTTTGAGAGGCTGGTGATGGCTGGGAGCGAGAGTTTGCCGATCGGCGTCCTCCTCGCTGTAGGGATGAAAATACTAGTTACTGCGCACCTGGCAGATATCACAACACGTCGGAGCGTCCAGGAGAAAAGGAATCTTGGGTTTTCACTGGAATCTAGTTCCTCCAGCATCGTGTAGCCCACCGTCGGTGAATGGCGGTCCAGAAAGGTCGAACCTGGTCTTCTGCAGAACCTCGCAGTCCTGCGAGGCACACCGGGTATGCCTGCCATGTATTGTACAAATAAAACTCATGCAGTAGTGGACTCTACAGTGATGAGTCTCAGCCTGTATGCTGCAAAAGACACAGGAAATGTGACTGGTGTCTGTACACTCAGTGACTGGACGCCAACACCCCAGTCTTCTCCTGCAGGATCTGTTTGACATTGACATTATTCAGTAGGTCGGCATTGACCTGGTTTGGCAGCTATCGTGATAGTATCTGCCTGGTTGGATGTAGCAGGTTGGCGTTTGCTCTTCGTCCAGTCCGGAATTTTCTTGTAACTCACGGTGGAGTACGCGCAGGGTTTGTGATCATCCCTGTTCACTTCAATACTATCAAACACATCTTATCCTAAGTACTGAATTTGCTGACAATATTGCACCACACTTGTCACAACCTACCGCCACTGCTGGCGGTGGAGACTGGTTCGTCAATGGCAGTGACCAGGCTGACTGACTAGCTTCGAGACAGCGGCCTCGTTGTCAACCCCGCGACAGCCTAAAGGTTGATTTTATCGATCCAGCCTCAGCGCCATGTTGACGATGCCCTAGTGACTGTGTCTCATGGATTGCCTTGCCATCAGCGGTCATTGCCGTCCACCTTGGTGCAGCCCTCACCAACTGGCTCAGCCCATGGGAGTCTCAAGTGGACAAAGTTGTTGCCAAAGTAGCTCTGAAGATTGGTGCATCGGTGTGTAGGTGAGCACATAACTAGGACTTCCCAGCGCCTATTTGTCCAGGCTGCGATACTATGTGACATGCTGTACTGCACATTCTTTTCAGCACTGCAAGGCCGGCAGCTGGACCGACTGCAAGGGCCGCGCACATGCAGGCCGCCTGTTGCCAGTGCAGCATTCTGGAACGTTCCTTCCTTCTGAGATCCGTGGAATAATAACTTTCTTTGCTTCGAAGCAAGTTGCTTACCTTTCTGTTGTGCTCCCAGTGTCCTTACAACAATAGCCTGTAGCAATGTTCTATTTTCCTTTCCATTCCCCGACCAATGAATACTACAATGTCGATTCTATTTCTGAATACTTTAGTGTGTTCCCGCGCACGCACGTGTGTGTGTGTGTATACCTCACTCGCCACTCGAAGTTCTGTTCCTAATTACTGGAACACTGCCTGTTCTTTCAGGACCTGCCATCATCTGCGGATGGGCATTCAATGATTGTATTGTGTGTGTGTGTGTGTGTTTCATTCAAAATCAGATCCGCTATCGTTGCTATAAGAGAAAATCTGTGGGTTCACATCCAGTGCATTTGTAGATTTGCGTGCTTTTCTCGCCACGGGCGCATACATGGGACATTGTGTGTGTGTGGTGTGTGTGTGTGTGTGTGTGTGTGCGTCTGTGTGTATGGGGATATTGTCTGTATCAGCTTTTGGTACTAATGTTCAGGTCTGTGCTTGCATGTGTGAACATGAAATTGTTCGGTTCTGTGCATGCTATTGCTATCTTGTATATTATTGTATGTATGTGTGCACTTCCACGAACAGTGTAGATGAGCGTGGAGAGTGCATTCATCCCTCATCAACCACTTCCCCTTGGGCTTACGAGAGTTTTTTCTGCGTACCTCTCATTTTTGTTTGTTTCTCTCTGATACTGTATTGATGCCGGTACCTGTACCTCGATGTGTTCCTCTATCTGCAGTCGCCTTTATCCTTCGGTCAAGTTAACGTTTATTGTGCTCTATTTATCATGCGAATCAAAATAAACAATAATAACACAAGTCATGCTAGAGTGACGACATGTGCGTGTAGTAGGGTTGATGCGATGGGACGTTATAATTAGGTGGAACAGAACACACATTGGGCAGATTGATTGGGCATCATTGATCGTGCTCAGTCTAAACAGTGAACATAATAGTTATCTCCAGTGACAGACTGTAGCGGCTAGCCTCCAATATGTAGCTGGCACTAGTCGCTACTGCTTGTTCGACAGGTGCCGCCAGAACCCCTGTCGTGTCATGCTATAGATGCACATGCCCTATTCTGGGGCATACTGAGGTACTTTGATTTTTTTGACTGCATGTAGACAGCATCCAATAGTAGTACTCATAGACCTTGGCTCTTTGTAGGTCAACCACCATTGCATGGATTGATCGGTGACTATGCACTTGGAGGTTGGAATAGGCCGCGCTGAACAGATCTTGCCATGGCCCAGGGAGTGAACTCGCTTACTCGACTATCCCGGTTTTAATTAACCAGCATGAGTGGTGCAATTTGTCCATACCATGTTGCGAGCTCACAGTTGTTTGGGCAGGTTTTGAGCTGCATCACGAAACAAAGCGAAATAACGTCGTGACTGTAGAGCAAGGAAGCGGCGAGACGGCACTTCCAGGACGAGAAAGGCAGTAGAGATGTGTTCACAGCACGAGCAACCTCTCAAACCCTGCTGGTACTCCCCAGTTACAGGAAAATGTCGGACTGGACGACGCGCCAATGCAAACCTGCTACATCCACCCAGGCAGATAGCTGCCAAACCAGGCCAATGTCGACCCACTGCATACCGGTATGTCAATGTCAAACAGATCCTGCAGGAGAAGACTGGGATGATATTGGCGTCCAGTGTACGGACACCAGTCACATTTCCTGCGTCTTTGGCAGCATACAGGATAGACTCATCACTATAAAGTCCACTACTTCGTGATTTTTATTTGTAGAATACATGACAGGCGTATTCAGTGTGCCTCGCAGGACTGCGAGATGCTGCAGAAGACTAGGTTCGACCTTTATGGACCGCCATTCACCGACGGTGGGCTACACGATGCTGGAGGAACTAGATTCCAGTGAAAACCCAAGATTCCTTTGCTCCTGGACGCTCCGACGTGTTGTAATATCTGCCAGGTGCGCAGTGACTAGTATTTTCATAGCTATAGCGAGGACGACGCCCATCGCCAAACGCTCGCTCACAGCCATCACCAGCCTCTCAAAACCATCACTTGGCATCCCCCAGAGGTATAGGAGAAAGCCAAAACAGCTCTCAACAAACAAAAGCTAAGGACGATGGAAAGAGAGCATGTCAAAAAGAAGACGAACAGTATGAAGTTCAAATGGGTTTGAACACTCGTACCACCAACTATACCGCTTTCAATAAATCGTGACGCCATTTTGTTTTAACACGCATACGGTCCATTGAAACGAACAATCTGATATTTCTTCCATCTCCTTTGCCTTCTGTTCTTTTCTATTTTCAACCCCTGTGCTCCGTGCCCCTTCGCTCGATTTGTCTTGTCTTTACTATCTCCTTACTTGTTGAGCGGCCTGAGCGACGCTTCCAAACTTAATATCAGGGACAGCAGGGCGTGTGGCTTTTGTAGTCACCAAAAGCTGGTGAGATTTAGGGGGCTCGAATCTGATGGATACAAACAGTTCAAGTTCAAGTTCGTCAATATTAGACACCTTCGTATGTATTTTGTGGCACTGGTTGCCAACTTAACATTGGTTCTTTCATGGTTCATCTTTGGTTCCGTAAATTCCGATGACGAACGGAGCAGAAATCCAATCTGAAATAACGCTCCCTAGCGCGAAACAGCCGGGCAGGTTCGATGGTTATGTATTGCCCACATGCTACGTATGGAGAAGCACAATTTCTACATCTCCATGATAAACCTAGAATATCGACATATTTTATTATTTTGAAAAGTCTAGCAATCGATGCTTTTCCAACTTCATGTCAATTCCAAATATTTCAATTTTAGACAAATCTCTAACTGACTATCCTCTGATGGTTCTGGCCTAAGGTGATAAGAGAAAATTGATAAATCAAAGGTGTCCATATGATTTCACCTAACTCCCCAGCATCCCATTACCTAGTGTGTTGTTATCTTTGCATATAGTCACGGATTGAGCATCACAGGTTGAAGTGGCAGGGTAACATCCAGTTGTTAGGTAGGCAGTCACCTTTCTTCCCAGCAATAGTTCCATGTGTGTGCGGTAGTCATGGAAACACTCATCGATGTCTACAGTAGAAATCAACTTAAACGTCGGTACAGTTGTTGAGCACTCGGCGCTGGCTGCAGTAGAGTTCGCAGCAGACCATGAGCTGTGGCTGACTAAGAATTCACCATTGGTAGTGTTGCAGTTGAATTCAGCTGAATGAATAGAACATAACCCAGTGAGAAAGTAATTTAGCTTTAAGTTATACGTCCGTTCTGAATGACGAGACATTCTCGTTGGTGGTGACAATCAGATTTTTCATCCGACTTTTCCCGTTTGTGTCTTTCCCTCAAACCATTGAATATCTAATGACTCGGGGCTCCCCGCGTGCTAGTTTGTACGTGAAGTGTGTGGGTTACAGTGAGGGCTGTGGCCCACCCGCCTGTGTGGATTCGCAGGAAGTGTGAGTTACGAAGTATGAAGAAAATGTTGAACTGTCTCTGCTGGGATGACGACTACACCATAGCTCAGTGGTTAGAGCATCGCTGGCTACAAGCGAGGGTCCCTAGTTCGAGTCCTGATAGTGACGGTCAATTTTTTCCTAAAGACTTTTCCCGATTGTGTCTTTCCCTCAAACCAGTGGTTATTATTTTACGCTTGTACTGAATTACGCGTTGACTTCACCAAGCTTGCTTGGCTAGTCTTCGAATAAGCCAACATTTGATGACCAAAAGAAATGAGGAACGAGTAAGGCCAATGAGGTGCGCACGCGCGTGCAGCTTCAGAAAAGGCAGCAAGAATACCAAGGCAGTCCAAAACACACACAAAATGTAAACTATTTACTTCAACAAATAAACCTGGAAACGGATGAATACATCAATCATACGATAGTTTGACGGCAGGATGAAACGGACACCTTGTTTCATGCTGCTGTCAAACTATGAACGCTATAGTAAACAAAAACAAGGTTTATCTACTTAATCATACTAGTACCAGCTGACGATATAGAGAGGGAAAGCGACATAGCATGAGTACACATGATAGTACTTTTGAAGTACAATTCTACTTATAAACTACAGCCGAGAACCACGTGCTGTAGTCGAAAACTACACACCATTGGTAAATTATTTTCACATATACAGACAATTCGCAAAAGAGTTCGAACGTTCAGAAACAATCCATTACTTGTATGATAGATTGGCAGGACAATTGTGGCGCTTGTTTCGCCTTGTGGTCATCTTTCCCAGATCACCTTCACAGAATCTGAAAGAACGTACTTCCGAGATTTTCTTTGTAACACATGTAGAAGAAAAACGCATGGAATTGAGTTATGAAGCAATTAACTATCCACGACTGTAACAAGATAAAGGGCAGTCAGAAAGTGCGATAGCAGGGCACTTAGGTGACAGGCTAAAGGCTTCTACCTCAAAAAAGTAATTCTTTTGTCTAGTTTCTTGATCGCATGCTGACGGTCACAACTGGAGCTAATTTCAAAAGCAAACTGACCAAAGGAACGTTCAGATAGATGGGCGCAATGAGTTCACGTCTCATGGTAGAGGTCACGAAAACAATGACCTGCCCTCGAAAGCCCTAGTTAGGATGTGCTCACCACATAGTTGGCATTTGGATCGCGTGACCTGAAATGATTGCCAACCGTCAGAATCTGATCAAACGAAACTTGAAGTATAAACGCGAAGTATAATACCGGCCTGTGGTGATATTATAGCACCTTTCCCTGCATGGGTCTTGGCACTCAGGCTGCTAGTGCTACTGTTCGCACCCTAGGCCCTGCACTGCTGTACGTCTGGCGCCTTGCGCATAACACATTCACATGTCACCTTTCAAGCCGCCTTTGCAGCCAGCTTCCCTTTAAAAGCCATTTCGTTTTACTGATGATTCATTCTCATCTTTCGAAGAGTTGGTCTGCCTTGAGCAGGACACAACATGGCGCAGCGAAAGACACAAACCTCTGTCAAGGCCAAGGCTGAGGAAGCAGCAGCACCCAACGACGGGTTGACAGAGCGGATGCAGCCAGGGATCCAAGAAGAAGGAAGCCTGCTGCAGTCTATCGTCCAATCCCTCAGCCAGCAGCAGCAGATTCTGCTTAGGCTCACAATGGCGCAGTCAAGCCAGCCTGCCGGCAGTGGCCCGCCACAGTCCACCTCAAGACAGCCAGAGGCAGGGCCGTGGGCCCGGAGAGCGGAAATACCCCAATTGCCCAGTCCAGACTCGGTGGACCTAGCTGGTTTCCTCGAGTGGAAAGTCAAGTGGTCCGACTACGTGTCGTTGACCGGGCTATGCAGAAACGCAGGTACAGTTACGCAGCATGCAGTTCTCCGTACAGCTCTCAACGACGGTTGGGTGCGGCTGTTGCAGGCGGGCGTAGGTCCCATAACCGACGGCGATGATGAGCGGGTTGCCATTCAGAAGCTGGAAGCTTTCCTGAGAAAACGAAGAAACCCGTTACTCGACCGCCAGGCCTTCCATGGCAGGAGCCAGAGACAAGGTGAGAGCATCAGCCAGTACTTCTCGGGTCTATCTCAGCTGCATGATGCGTGCAGCGACCCAGATAGTCTGCAGTGCGGCAGATGTGGGTCACTGTGCGGCCATGAGGCCCAAATTCGGGGAAAACCGGCTCCGCGACAGGCTCGTCTGTGGCGTAAGGGATCGAGCGATGCAACGACGGGTGCTGGAAGAAGAGTATGCCAGTGAGTTATCGCTCGATCGGGTCATGCAGATATGCTCTGCATAAGAATCCTCTACCGATACGGAATCTGGCCTCGGTGAGCAGCTGCCCGACCAGACGTTGGCGGCGGCAACGAAGTCCACTTACAAGCGTCAGCAGGCGCAGGCTAAGACGCTGAAGTCGGACGTAGGAACGTGCAGGTTTTGTGGGGAGACTCACCCCAAGGGCCAATGCAATGCCTATAACCAGACATGCCGCTTGTGCCTCAAGGTGGGTCACTTTGCTAGGGTTTGTCCTCAGCGGACCTCGCCCTCACCAGGAACGACGTCTGTCGACTCGCTGTTTGTCAACCAGGCTGGTCCTTTTAGGAACAAGCTGGTGACGGTTGGCGTCGCGATCCAGGGAGGATCGTCATGCGCTATCGGGTGGCTGCCGGACGCGGGCGCGGATGTGGACGCCATCAGTCTTACCGACCTGGATGGTATCGACCCAAGCCTCAGGATGAATCTAGTGCCGGACACAGCTGATGTCAAGGCAGCTAACGGTACAGCTTTGGATTGTTTGGGCAAGCTCGAGGCTAAGTTGTCTTTGAGCGACACTACCGCTGTGTCGACCCTGCACGTATTCCGGCAGCTGAAGACACCTCTGCTCAGCAAGGACACGTGCATGAAGTTGCGGCTTCTCGAGAATGGATGGCCTCACTCCCGTCTAAGGGCACAAAGCGTGGGAAACATCTCCATCACTCGGAAGCAAGCATCCTAAGTCGCAGACACGTCAGTAGGTACTGCGTCGACGGCGGCTGAGGAAATCTGACGTACCTTGCTGGAAGAGTTTCCAGAAGTGTAATGTGATACCCCGCTCAAGCCCATGAGCGGTGAGCCAATGCGCATCGAGCTCATCAACGGCGCGTCGCCATGCCGCCTGTATCGCGCTCGCTCCATCCCATTCCGACATGGTGGGCAAGGGCGTCAGTGAGAAGGTGCCTGTCGGCGAAGCATACACTTGTTGCCACCCACTGGTGGTGGTCCCTAAGAAGAATTCCAGTAAGCCGCGCATCGCGGTGGACCTTACGGGTCTAAATAAATGGGTCAAGAGGCCGGCATACCCAACCCGAGTACCTCGGGAAGTCATCGCGTCGATCACAATGGGGATGCAGTACTTCACCTCCCTACATTCTTGCCATGGCTACTGGCAGGTACCCCTCGACGAGGATAGCACCAGGCTCACAATGTTCATGACGCCATGGGGTGCCTACCGTTTCAAGCGGAACGTCACGGGCTTGGTGTCGGCAGGTGACGAACACAACCGGAGAGGAGACGAAGTGTTCGCCGGGTTTTCGAATCTTCAGAAAGTGGTAGAGAATGTCATCGTGTACGACACTGAGCTTGAGGCGCACACCCAGAGGGGTCGCAATGTGCTCAAGCTTTGCTCGGAGAACCAAATCACAACGAACCGCCGCAAATTCGTCTTTGCGGTACCCAGAGCATCTTACTGCGGATTCGTGGTGACGCAGGACGGCTACAATCCTGAACGTAGCTTGGTGGAGGATCTATACATCTTTCCAACCCCTATCAACCGTACTGATATCCGATCCTTCTGTGGACTCGTGCAGCAGTTCGACGTGTTCACGCCGCGACTAGCAGAGCTACAATCCCCGATCCGCTCTCTGCTCTCTCCAAAGAATGAGTTTATCTGGGAGGATCCGCAGCAGCAGGCATTTACAGCTATACTAGAGGAGCTGGTAAGCCCTCGAGTGTTGGCTACCTTCAACCCTGCACAGACGCTTCGTCTCGAGACAGACGCCTCGCAGTCAAACGGTCTCGGCATGGCACTGTGGCAGCAGCAAGTGGACGGGCGGTGGCGTCTAGTGCAATTTGCTTCACGGCACGTCACTGAGACCGAGGTCAGGTACTCTGCAACGGAGATTGAACTGCTGGCGGTAGTCTGGGCAGTCCACAAGGCTAGACTGCTCCTGGCTAGCGCTGATTTCGAGCTGCTAGTTGATCACAAGCCGCTCATTCCTATCCTGAATGCTAAGACGCTGAATGAGTTGACGTGTCCACGAATCGTGCGACTAAGGGAGAAGCTGACGCCTTTTCGGTTCATGGCTCAGTGGAGACCGGGTGCCGATCACCAGGTCGCAGATTGCCTGTCAAGACACCCAGTAAGTGCACCAGACCCTGGCGATGAAGCTGGTGAGGAAAAAATCGAGCACTGCTACTGTGTTCTCCGTCAGCTGTCGCAAGAGGACGAGGAAACAGGCCATACAGTCTTCCCCGACCTTGGCATTACGAAGGTGCGGGCGGAGGGCTCAACGGACCCGGAATACCTCAAGCTGCTGAACGCCGTAACGAACGGCTTTCCGGTGGACAAGGCTGCTCAGAGAAGGGTTGCTGGAGTGGCGTAACACGCCGGGTGCAGGAGGAGCAAGCCCGGCCCAGCTGCTGTTTGGAAGGCCAACGAGGACCAAGGTTCCCACACTTCCTGCAAATCTGCAGCAGTACGCTGCCCACAGCCGCAGCGCTCCCCAGCAGGTCTCATCCCAGCTTGGCAAACCTCTGCCGCCTCTGCATGTAGGCGATAAGGTATGGATCCAGAACCAGTCTTCAAAACGCTGGGATATGGAAGGAACGGTCACAAAATGCACGAGAAGAGGACGGAGCTACACGGTGCAGATGTTGACGGGGTCCCAGCTTGGCAAACCTCTGCCGCCTCTGCATGTAGGCGATAAGGTATGGATCCAGAACCAGTCTTCAAAACGCTGGGATATGGAAGGAACGGTCACAAAATGCACGAGAAGAGGACGGAGCTACACGGTGCAGATGTTGACGGGGTCCAGCTTCTGGCGGAACAGACGGTTCCTCCGGCCACGTGCATAAATTGACTGGGCATGCTTCTCTTGCTTTTTCCTTGTTGCTTGTGCGCTACGCTGTGATTTTTTAAATTTCAGTTTCAGGATTTTCTTTGTGTTAGTGCTCCCAAGTCGCACTTAAGCCGAGGAAGCGTGTGGTGATACTATAGCACCTTTCCCTGCATGGGTCTTGGCACTCAGGCTGCTAGTGCTACTGTTCGCACCCTAGGCCCTGCACTGCTGTACCTCTGGCGCCGTGCGCATAACACATTCACATGTCACCTTTCAAGCCGCCTTTGCAGCCAGCTTCCCATTAAAAGCCATTGCGTTTTACTGATGATTCATTCTCGTCTTTCGAAGAGTTGGTCTGCCTTGAGCGGGACACAACACGGCCTAACTGGCTTTCAGTTACAACTCAACTTCGATGCGCACTCCAACAGCCTTCCAATTTGGAAGCTTCTAAATTACACCCCCCCCCCCCCCACCTGCCCTTTGCCTGATGATTGTGAGAGCACGAAACTTCAAGTCGCAGCAAACGTCCTTGATTGTCCTTGTTTTTCTGTTCTGAAGCTCCTAAATATCATGGTAACACAGTGCCCGAAGGCGAGCGCAACCAAGAACTGAAAATCTCAGCTGTGAAGGGCGTTTGCGGATGTACATGCATGTCGATGACGATCCTGGCAAGACCACGGGCCAATGCAGTCAAATTACGAATCAACGACGAAAAGAAACACACCACACAACCTTCCTCTTTCCTCCTAGGTCCTTTTTCTTTCTATTCGTGTTTGTTACATTATCATTTTTCGAAATGCTTCATGCACTACTGTTGGAATAATATACAATGTAGTTTGATTGCGAAACGTGGCAAATAGCAAGCAATCCCATTGAACAGTAAATAGACTAGTTCAAGACCACCTTGCTTGTTTTCTTTCCGACTGGTGCAAAACGTAAAAATGACATCACGTATTTCAAATGTTCTCAACTGACTGGCCCCATTGTGAAGTCTACCGCAGAAATGTGTGATATGGTCTTCACGACCATACCACCCCTTCCCCAGGCGATTTGGTCTCATGGTGTTTCTTTCATTTTCATTCGGGTAAAAGTCAGTTAGGCTGCGAATTGTTCCTTTGGACAAAATTCGCAAAAAACGGTGCAAGGAAATAAACCACAAAGCAGTTTGAAATTTAAAAGCATCTGACTCCTGTAGACGAGTAGTGAACGGGAGAAGCTAATCCTCCATCACGCCGTGTTTCAAATGCTCTTGGATGAATTTCATGTTATTGGGTTCTATGCCAGTTTGAATTTGCGAATCAGAATAAATACAAACAAACAAACTGGATCCCGTCGACGTTTCACGGAGTGCTAATGGCCCCTAATGGCCCCTCTCTTTACCCTCGATCTTAATTACCAATTTGGTAGATTTTCAATACGACGTGCTGAAACGTGCTGAAACTTTCCCAGCTCTTCTTTCCGTGCTCTTCTATCATCGACAATAATATTTCCGACTATGGAGACCCGATCACCGGGTAAGATGGAAAGTCCCCATCATCCTTCACAAATCTAGCATATTTCAATTTGGAATCATGTTATTCATTTAGTCCGTGTACAGTCGAACCCTTAACTACAGTAACGTCAGAATTGTTAGGTTCGTTAATATAACATAGACAAGACTTAGTGTCGTAAGCTAGACTAATCGCACTTACTGACATACTTGACTCCTTCTGCAAAGGATCCAACACAGATGATCAGCACTGAAGACAATTTTAGTATGCAAAGCAAGTTGGCCATTTCTCTGTGTAGCGCAGTCGGGATAGAGATTATGCACAAATGATAAAAATATGGAACAAAAGAGAGACAGGAATGGAACATATAATAATTGTTATTCTGTTCGTAACTGCTAAAATCGGGAATTATCCTTCAAAGGATGAATGGTTATATGGATCATCGGTGGCCAGTTACAACTTTTTTAGTCTCCAATCCCATCAAAGGTAGTGCTTGGACGGGGATTATTAAACGACTTAGAAGTGACACGAGGTTAATGCTAGTCTAGGAAATTCAAAACATTTGTATCTTATGGACTCAGATGGAGAGCCAAGGTTTAATTCATTCAAAAGAGAAAAACCAAAGACCTACAAGTTACGCTATACTGTCCACTAACACCACCAGTTACTAAACAATCAGCTCATCCGATAACATTGCACGACACTGAGCGACGGTACTGACGAGCTGATTGTTTAGTAACTGGTGGTGTTAGTGGACAGTATAGTGTAACTTTTAGGTCCTTGGTCTTTTTCTTTGTATAAATTTACATCTCACCTAAATTATACATACTTAGATTGAGTATGCTCAATCTGTGGACATTATGCTGTTTCGTTATTTGTGAACTCATCGGCGCAGCACAGAGGAAGTGAGGCCGAACCCTCTGTGCTGCGCTGATGAGTTCACAAAGAACGAAACAGCATGCTGTCCGCACATTGAGTACTAAGAAGTAGAAGTCGAAGTAGGGAACGCTTTAGGCTTTTGAAAATGTTAAAGGTTTTCACTAGTATACTTTCATGCCTTATCATCAGGTGTTATACCAGGAAAGTCAAAAGAACATGAACAATGGATTAAATACAGCAGAGAGGAGGTGATAGAAACAGCCCAAGGAATAAGAGCCAACACAACAGCGTCCAATGCGTGACCTATACGCATAGAAAGTAATGGGGAAAAGGTGCAAGTGTATTTAAACCAAAAAAAAGCCACGTGCGGTGCAGCAAAAACGGCCGACAAATGGACAAAAACTAACGAGTTGTTGATGACCTACCTGACAGTCTAAGCGTGAATCAGATCTGCTTCTGTCTACATAAGTTGGGTTTCTTGGTGTGAATATCAACAGCATTTAAAGCAGTCAAAAACCCCGCATTGCATACACGTGTGCAAAACAATCAATCATCTGAGTACACGCTGCAACATTCAGGATGCTCTAACAAATGACAAGCAATGGACGAATCGTACCCCTCAAAACTAACATCAGAACAATCAGAATGAACAGCGGACAAGTCCGACACCAAACGCGTAGTCTACTTAGGCTTAGTTGTTGACTCCGCCGTGCCCTGGATGCCGCCGTGCGCTGGATGCGCCGTGCTCTGCATGCCGCCTGTGCCGCCGTTGCTAATCTCGTCATCTTTCTCGTTTCAGTTGACTTCTTTGCCAGTACGTGAGTGGGTCTTTCAGGTGGCTTCTTTGGCGGTCTTCAAAGCTTGAGGTCAGTGGACACTTCCCATGATGATTCATTGGCTTTATTCACATGAATACTTCCTCCGTTAACAAAAACTTCGTGATGGATTTTGATGGATATGAAAACGCTTAGAACAGGTCAAGAACAGTTGGTATCGCCTGCAAATTACTGGACGACGGTGATTCAGCCTATGCACAGCGCTTTTACAAGAGAAATGTTGGCAGAATGAGCAGAGAATTCAGTTTGCGTTGCTTTCGCTCGATTCATTTTTGACCTGCGTCGCAGTCGTCATCTGCTGCACGCGAGTCGTCATCTGCTGTACGCGAGTCGTCATCTCTCTCGAGTCGTTTGTGCAGCTCGTTTCAGCCTTGCCTCGGCTGCTTTGATCACACTCCGCTTGATGTCGCCACCGTTCAAGTAAGTTTGCTTTCAAGCTGCGTGATCCGCCGCGATGGCGATTACTCGTTTCCACCAGGGAGTCGTGAAAATTATTTTACAACTCCCTGGTTTCATCTTCGCTCTCCAGAACTCCGCGAAACGAGGAGTAAAGGCACAGCTAAACTGATTCCAATTTCTCTAATGGATACCAGCACTGAACGGCAGCGGCTAGCAAGTCCAGGCGACTTTCTTTAGCCACGAGACGCGCATCTGACTGCAGACTTCCGAAAGAATGCATGGTCATCAGCATTCGAATCTGGACTTTGCGCAGGTGGAACAGGAACTAACGTGTTACTTCAGTTCATAATTGTTTTCATTGAGCCGTGCGATCGGAGCAGCTCCTTGTTCACTCGCTCATTGTGTGGGCTCGCTGCTCCGTTTTATCGCTCTCTATCACTTTCCAACGTACTTAGTGCCAAAGTGGTAGAGAGGCCAAGCATCGCAATATCCCCTCGGAGAAGTGGCATTTCAGTTTCGCTCGCCATGACTGTCATCACCTATGTTTCCACAGCGCAACCATCGATTCCGCTCGGCTTGTTGTAAAAGGTCGCTTTCCTTGCATCGTACCTCTGTCATGGCATGCCAGTGAAGGCCAAGAAAGTGATTGTGACTCATTTCACGCCAGTTTGTGCCCAAATCAGCCCCTCAAAATTCCATCACGAAGTTTTTGTTAACGGAGGAAGTAGTTGGTTGCGAGATGTTCTTTGGGATCAATCCCGCTGTGTTGGACCATCTCGTTCCAGGATGACTCTTACGCTTGCGTGCGTTCCCTCCCAAGTCGCCCGGTACGTGCGGGTTCAGGTATGATGTGCAGCGGTGTGTGTTGTCTTATGCGCGCGTCTAGATGTTGAAAGATCCTACCTACATTATCGGCTATCACAATACCGAGGCTCGAAAGGATAAGTCACTATATGACCTGAAGGTAAGACGTCCTTCTTCAACGTGAACGTACGTACCGTGGAGTAGATGAAACGAATGTGCACATTTTAATAATTTGACGTAACGGCTGATTTTACGCGACGCTCAACCATATGTGACACTGACTCGTCCTTCCACGGTACATATGGATAAACTGGATTAGTAGAAGCTTCATCTATCTTCTTATTTGGGACAGCCACAGTTACATACTTCACAATAACCGAAGTGGGGTATCCATTGAGACGAAACAGTGCACGTAACTTCTCCAAATCCTGCTCCAACGTTGACGACGAATCAAAGCGGGTAATGTCAACCAAGTAACGTAACAAATTGATCTTATACAAAGTCGCAGAAAACGAGTCCCATACAATGTACGAGCTAGTGAACGTAGGCTTATGATAAACAGATGTAACAAGCTTGCGCTGTCTCTATCACTTCTCCCCATGATTTATGACATTGTCCTTTTTGATTAGATTTTGCCTGTATTTCACCTGATCATACCAGGCAGGCACAGTGGGTTGGTCAAAGACCATGATTGAGATACGAGAGGTACCTGGGAGCGGTTTTTCCAGCCGTGCTGCAACCCACAGTGAATTGGGAACTTGTGGCCAGGCACAAGGGGTACATGGATGCAGCTAATGGGGTCGTTTTCGGCACTTGTGCCAGTGGGTTGTGAGACTTATCCACTCACCCCCACCGTTAGGCGCTGCGTCTGTCGCTAGGGTTTATCGGTTGTTAGCGGCCGTCGTGAGTTCCCTTCGGGAACGGAAACGATAATTTACTTTTTTTAATTTTTTTATAAGGAATGAAAGTACTTCGAAGTATATCAGTCAAAACTTTTAAAATGTTCAAGAGAGTGAATTATGAAGTGTGTCCTACTTCTAAGAATGATTGCATTCGTGTCTCCAAGGAAATGATACTGCCAACTTTGCCTCCAGCCGAGTCTCACCCAAACTATTATTTTTGGGTTGCGGAATTAATATCTTCCACGAAATCCACGTATCTCCAGACAATGCAGTGAATAAAGGAGTGAGTTTTTCGGTCTAATTAGAGACCATTATACCCAGAAAAATCGAACCACAACCGTGATAGCAAACCATTTGGAATGCATGGATTAGAAATTTTGAAAATGAAGTTTAACTCAAATTGATGAACCCCGCCCTCAAGCCTTCAACAACTTAGAACAATAATTATTATGAAGTGTTTTTGTTTTTCTTATTATACAACGCAAACAAATCGAAGGGAAGACGACACAATGAAGGGCCCATTTATGAAGGAGTAGTGATGGGGTGTGAAGTTCTCAGCCGACATACTCTGTAATGAACTCACCATTCAGATGTCTGCTAGATCACCTTGGTTCCCAACTCTACACAGGCATAGATCAGCTCACGCGTGTCACCAGTTTGAGCACAGTACTTGGGCAGAATACAGTTTCTTGCTGGCAGGCACCGGCACCACGACAGTCCTCCTCAGGTCATTAACAGTCCTTCTTGTGTGGAAATATAAGATTAAACGTTAGAAGAAGAGACCAGTGTAGCCTGCGTATACACAAGACGGATTTCCAAATTTTCTTTGATTTCGCCGTGAGAAATAGGGCATGGATCACGTACCATGTATGTTGTAGCCAGGTGCGCGACAAGTGGTGAACACCGTCTTTTCTTCACTGGAAGTGCACGATAGGCTACCCACTCTGTAACTTGAAAATTTGCCAGATGCACGCAGCTGGTTCTCGTGTCATGCTTCATGGGAACGGAAGTAACAGACTCCCATAAATTTATCTTATTAGCAAGCTTTGGGCTTTCCTGTTTTGCAATTGGCTATTGCGGATTTGACTTATAGTACGATTCTCACCAGCTTGGTGTAATGCAACAAATTAATACGCCTCAGGCTCTGTTGTGATGATGACTACCGAACATGTACTTCGTCGGTTGTTGGGCAGCATTGGATTCAGGTCCCTGGTTGTAGCTCCGGTAGTGACAGTGGATTAGTTATTCCGTTTCAAGAATCAATTTGTTTTACATGTATGCATGCAAACTCGGAGGGAGTTGTGGTTGCTCGTGAGAGTGCTCAATACACTGAGGTGATGAGCTTAGAGCCCAAACTTGAGAGGAATCAAAAGCGTTTCTGCTGTTGTTGCGGTTGCTCGTGGGAGTGCTCAATACACCAAGGTGCAGAGCCTAGTGCACACACTTGAGAGGAATCAAACGCGTTTCTGCTGCTGTCTGATGATCGGTTAAAACCGTGAAACTCAGAGTTACAGCAAAACTGGGGAATGGCCTGGCACATTAGGTTTGAACCTACGAAGTCTCAGTCTCTCCTGATTTCTCACCATCGCAACACAGTCGTCGTCCCACCGATTGTATTCCAGGGCACAGTTGTTTCGGAAGTCGACCAGCTGAAGATGCTTTGTGTGCTGTTTGACCAACACCTGTCCTTCACAGCTCATATCAGGCAATTGGCTATTCGAGGCTCGCAGCGTCTCGGCTTCCTCCGGAAAGCCTCGCGAGTGCTGGACTCCAGGTGCCGTGGAGTGATCTACAAGGGCTTTGTCCGCCCTGTTTTAGAGTACGGCATGCTCGTGTGGATGAGCGCTGCACCCACCACTCTGGCTCGCCTCACTGCCATCCAACGCCGTGGCCTTCAACTAATCGGTGATGGAGCCTACCTCCCTAGCTTGGACATCCGCAGAATGGTCGGAGCACTCTGCTTTCTGTGCAAGCTCCACTTTTCAACTGCCCGAGACATGCTTCTCACCCTTCTTCCACCCCGAGCGACCTACACATCACGCCATAGCCGACGCACACAAAAGCATCCCTCACACCAGTTTCAGCTCACTTCCACTCTTCCGCCCAGAGCACGGAATGATGTCATTCGGTCCTTCCCCAACGCTGTTGTGGAGGTCTGGAACCAGCTCCCGCAGTGCGTTCTGCTGAACCAGCCAACAAGGAAAGGACTGCAGACGTTCAAAGAAAAGGTAAACGCCCACCTGCGCCTTACCAGCTGGGGGTGGGCAACGGACAGGCTATGAATCAAAGAAAAAAGTAGAAAAAAAGCTCTAACTCTGTTCCCTCCTCCATTCACTTCGTTGACTCTCTGATAACTTTTTACTGTGCATACTTTTCCCCGTAATCCCCAGTTATCTACCCCCCCCCCCCTGCGTATTTTCTGTAATCTTTTGTTTTTGCGGAGCGCTTGGATTACAATGAAGCCGAGACCCTATGGTCGGTCAAGCTGCCCCTGGCTCTCCCCCACTCCTGCCATTCCATATGTAGCCAGTGCAGGCTGTCGTAATAAAACGACTCATCCGTGTTCCATTCCCGTGCATGGTACATGCATGGTGCGACGGCACAATGGCAGCTGTCGCAAATCACACTGAGTATTACACGTGTTTGTTGGTTATTCCTAGTTAGCTGCTAGCTTTTCCCTACTCGAAGATGTTGCCGCCGCGAAATCTGGGGTTTTTTGTTAGTCCTGGCGAAAACCGTGTTTTGATCCGTTGAGGGAGACGAGAGATACAGTGCGAAGACGTACGATCTGTCCGAGAATCGCCGAAGAAGAAAGCTTCGCAGACGACCCGTAGTGGCTGGGAATAGAATGGAACATACCGGTATACCAGTCGATGCCTGTCATGGTAGGGATGACTGCTACGAAGTTATAGCCCCATGCTCCCCAGCGCTTATTAGCGCCCGACGATAATTACCAAATTTCATCAATTTTCCATGTGGATCAAAGCAAAGTCTCCTCAATCTTCTCCAGTCGAGCTGAGTCTGCACGCTACAATGGCGAGACGCGAAAAAGAGAACATTCATGAACACACAGGAGCATCACATGCAGCTGCATTCTGCCTTGACGAAGCTGAGAACAACACCAGCACCACGCATTTGGAAGAAATTTCGAAGAAGACGAAGCACTACATATCTGCGTTCAAAAAAGCCTCTGTACTGTGCAGTATGCATGCGTGCATGCGCGAAGCACGGGGTCCGCGGATCTACTTCGTTCAAAAATCATTGTGCCACACGGGTTGTATGATTTGTGTGCGATCATGGCCTTTCTTCTTGACAAACAAAACTGAAGTTTTTCGATCTTCAAATCGCCATAGCGTCCTTGTCATGACTCCAAATCAGCTGAAACGTTGCAGGAGGAATGAAAATGCCATGCTGAATCGATTGGTGCCATTTTCGAAGGGTTTCCTTAAAAAATATAATTTAGCCTGCACTGGCTACCTTATGCCTCATCGCTGCCTTGCTGCTTTGTGCCGTCAAATGGTGTGTGTTTTTTGGTAAAATAAAAAATAAAAAAACCTTTTTGATTCCTCTCAAGTGTGTGTATGCATGCATGTATATCCTGTATGCATGATAAGCACTGACGTAGATAATAGTCAAAAATACGAGTATCCTCAAAACTTGTCATTTCCTTCGGAGAGGCTTCTCCTTGCGCCGACGGTTTCGTTATGTTCGAAAGTTCATGCAAAGGAAAACGGGGATTTTTCTTTAGGTGTTGCCTTCCAGGGCGTATTCGGACCACTTGAAAAAATGCGTTACAAACCATTTTTCAGGCCATTCTCCTTGGCAACCCGGGTAATATGGCACGAAAGTATAAAAGTGACTGGAACGGTTTCCGTAACTGCGGTACCCCTGCACAACGCAACATTGTTCTTTCAAGGAGAAATCAACTCCAGAAACTGAATTTTTCTGCACAGCAGTTTCCAATACGCCTGAAAGTTCTCGTCACCGACGATCTTGAGTGTCGGCTTATTGAGCTCTGGGGCGAATACTAGCAGACGAAAAGTGGTAAAATGTTGAAGCGGTCTGTCGCAGAGCGTCAAGTCGCATCCAAACTCAATGATTATGTTCAGCACCTCGGCATCAAGGATGTTGTGCTCACGGCAGTGAGTATGTACAGCAAGGTGAACAATTTGAAAACGAAGGCCTGCGGTCACTACGAGAGGTAGAGGAAAAACGGAAACCGGTTCTCCTTTGGGAAACCCTGGCCAAGATCGTGCCTACGACTTGCAGACTGCTTTTGCCACATGAACAAATTTCAGGTATGGCACAGTGCGTTCGAGTGTGTTCCTGAATAGGAGCATCTGCAGTGTATTGACTCCACACCACTACTCTGGCCACATTGCCAGCCTGACAGTCAGTACACCTTAAGCGCAGTCCCAGACAAACTCAAACTTTGTATCAACATCATGTGCCAGCAGCAGCTGCTTCAGTCCATCACTGTTAGTGTCCCCCTGGCTTCCGTTCCTTCATCTGTGAGAATAGCTATCCCGCTAGCACTGACAGTGGATAGTGATGATGACACTAGAATGCTTGATGATAATTTATGCTGTACACGCCATGCAAGACATGCAAGACATGATCAACCCCAACAAAACTACCAGTAAAGGACGCTACGGACGAAGATGACGACCACGATGACGATGATGATGGTGACATTCTAGAGATCGTGCAACCTGACAACAGGCAGCTTGTGCAACAGACACAGCAGCAGCATCAGCAGCATCCTCAGCAGCAACAGCTCAAAAAGAAGAAAAAGAAGGTTGAGCAGAAGGGGGTGCTGTTTGGAACAGGCAACAGCAGCAGAGGCGATTGTCACTGCCAACACGAGCACCCAGAAGGAGCCACAGCAGAATCACCAAACAGTCATATCGACTATCATCAGCCAGCACCAGACCAGGATGCAGCAGAATCAGGCTCAAACACCAAACTTCCTTCAGTGACAAGTGGAAATCCAGGCACAGCTGTTGGACCATGTAACGAGGGGAAATGCACTGTCACCAATTAGATACGGACGAACGAATGCATTACCACATATCCCCGTCGTCGCATTCAGCCATAATGTTGTTGACGACATTGGATTTCAGTTGCCTGTTATTGAACACTCCAGAATCACAGACGCTTCCTGCAGGTCCGATATCCACAAACGTGAAGTGCCCTTTGCTGGCAACGCATACCATCAATAGGATAGCTGCGAATCCCTTCTCACCGCACTCTCCTGTATTTTCGTAAACGTTCCATCGACTGAACACGAACAGAAGGGAACATTGGACAATGCCCCAAATTGACCCAATGTGCGGTTCCACTGTCGCCACACCGTAGGCAGAAAAGACAATAGTTTCCCGTGTGACTGGTCCCAAAAAGGCTGTTACAAATTGATGCACGATGCTGACCAGTGTACTGGTGATGATCTGGAACAATCCAGCCATTACCGAGTAGTTTTCCGCGTGTGCCAGGAAGCACAGCGCTATTGCAAAGCGCGTCGTCACTGAAATAGTCCACGGTAGGTGAGTTGTGGCTCACTCTATCAAATGAACGTAGCGCTGCAGAAGATAAAAGAGCTTTCGTGTTCTCAATCTGAAATGTGTCCTCCATTGGCCTTGACTCGAGTCTGGCTCTCTCCCAATTAGCCAGTACCTCCTTCTCCCAAACCTCGTAACCTGTAGCGCATTCATTTTGAGGCGAGGTTGTCCGAAACAGAC